GACCTCCCTCTCAGTCGACATTTGAGATCCCCTGGCCACACTAAGGTAGATCTCAATCGACTGACCATTACAATCATTGACCACAACTCTGCTTGGTCTAGGGAGGATAGACTCACTCGGGAAAGATTTTGGATAAGAAAATTAACAACTTTGGCACCAAATGGGATAAATGAAAAGATGTAGTTCGACTCCATGCAGTGCTTCACATTTGGGTTATATTACTTATTATTACAGTCTCTGTTTCTATTTCTTTACTTTACTCATCTCTAAAATCTGTTGAATATACCAATTGCTTAATTTTTTGAGGGATGTAAAAGTGCCAAGCCACGTTCAACTAGTTAACCTTAGTCAAAATTTATTATCATATTTAAACAGCCGTTTGTTTGCGATGTTTAAATACGCAGACTCTGTTGTAACTACTCTACCGTTGTCAAATTTGAAATATTTACAAATTTAGATCGTTCAGTGCTGTTTATTTGGAATTCTTATTGACGCAATCGTTCTTGTAACATCATAACTGTCGTCACCGTTAAAGCTTTAGCATTGTGCTAGTTCATATCGCACATTATTATTTTTATTTAAAGCATATACTTGAACTCTCTGCTGTAATTAGTCATATAACCTATGTCGTGTTTAACACATATTTAGAATTGTGCAAGCGTCTTACCTGATGTTCAGTTTGACTTTTTTATTGTATAAATTTCAAGATTGTTATAGTTTAATTTAAGTAGACTGATATATGATTCATTCAACATCACAATCATATTTACTGATGAAGGATATCTGTTATCCGAAATATTTATAAATAATTACATTTATAGTTCCTTTTTTTTGTTATTTGTGTTGTTGTGTACACTTTTTAGGCGTTTATATATATATATATATATTCCAGTTATGAAACTCGATGTAATACATTGTCACAGTCGTTTAAAAATCAATATTTCGTTCTTTTTATTCTGTTTTGAAAGGTCTTAAGGCGATATCATAATAATATCATCGGAACTCTTCGTATGTTTACTTTAATTCGAGGCAGATATCAGAGTAGGTACCTATTTATAGCAAAGTTCTATTTTAAGGTAATAACATAAATTTTGTCCTTTTAAAAGACTGATTTAAATATTGCACCAGAAGCTTGAAATACAACGACAGTATAAATAGATAACTACCAACTACATTTCTTAACAACAGAATAGAACAGAAAAAGCGTTGAACCACGAGACAATGGTGCAGAAAATTTCCAAAAGGGGTGTCCACTCCGGGAACACCCTCAGAGCATCCAATTCAAGGTAGGTCAATGAAAAATATAGTCCTGCTTTTTCACGTTATTTCATTGGGGCATAAAAAGCAATTTACGGCAAAATATGAGAAATTAAGTTGAATAAAATGAAATAATTATATTAATATGATAAACATCTAATAAATATATAAAATCGGAAAACAAAAATAATATGATCTTGAATATCAAGTTAAAAAGACCCTCGACCCCCCCCCCCCCCCCCCCCCCCCCCCCCCCACACCTTGTTTTACTGTCCTCAAAATAAGCAATATCTCATAGAACATTTTTTATTTGGATCAGGCGAAAATAGTTATGTCTACAATCAAATCAGAATTAATGTACTCGTATCAAAATGTCTTTCTATCGTTTTTTGTTATCCATATTAAAATTATTTATTGTTTTTTTTCTAAATTGTTATTTTTATGTATTTATATATTTGCTTCTATTTTGAATATTGGTCTAAATTTTTTTCGAGAGGATTATTTTAAGTTATAATAATAACGTGTATCCAATCGTTTCGTTCACAAGTCAAAACAATTAAACGTCCTCGGTCAAACTTCTCTTACACCATGTTGAGATAAAATCATGTGAATTATTAAAACTATAGATATTAGTGCCGAATAAAGGTTTCGAAATATTTATATTTGTTCGGAAGCTAGAATTACAGTCGAAAATATGTTTCAACCATTTAACAAATAAAGTTTTTGATTCTAAAATCGTCCATTAGTTAATCAGTAATATGTATAATACTTATAAAAGTAAGGAGATGAGGTATGATTGCCAATGAGACAACTATCCACCAAAGTTCAAATGAAGTGGATGTAAAAAATTATAGGCAACTGTACGGCCTTCAACAATGAGAAAAAACCCATACCGTATGGTCGGCTATTAAAGGCCCCGACAAGAAAAATATGAAACAATTCAATTGAGAAAAACTAACGGCCTAATTTATAACAAGACAATTTGCGAAAAAACAAATATGACAGACATGAACCAACGACAACCACTGAACTACAGGCTCCTGACTTGGGACAGGCACATAAAATATGTGGCGGGGTTAAACATGTCTGTGAGCGCTCAACCCTCCCCTAACCTGGGACATTGGTGTAACAGTACAACATAAGAACAAACTATAAAAATCAGTTGAAAAAGGCTTAACTCATCAGATGGATACAAATAGAAATACATCTAACAAAAACACAGAGTGGACGTGGACGGGTACTTATACATCCCAAAAACAAAAAGACACTAAGTACAGATCTGAGAGTACTCGCAGTTACTGACAGCTAGTTCAAAGCCAATAACAACTAACGAAAAAAATCATGTATCTAAGACTAAAATATCAATCAGTATACATCCAACATCCAATGGATTTAGTGTAAAGACGTCATTAACAGTCAGAGAAAAACATGACCTTGTGCAATGCCAAACTATAGTTATCGACAGATTGTAGTACAGTGAAAGTACATATGTGTAATATTAAGTATGGTTTTAATTTACTGATAACAAAATCAATATTAATTTATACCAATAAAATCAATATTCATAGATTTAATTACAGTGTTGAATAGGTAACCTTTTAGAATAAGTTTATTTAAAGGATTGATAAGTTTACCCGGATCGTATCTTAATTTCCGGGCTCGGTTTACAACATCACCGTAAAATTTAGGATGTGCTATTCCGGTTGAAATAAGTTTTCTACAGGTACAGCCAAACTTGCAGACCAAATCTTTGTATCTATGAAAGAATTAAGTAAAGGTTTTAAGTAATTTGTGGTAACGAATTCCTTGACTTAATAATTTACTAGTAATACATAGATTACGCTCACTTCATTGTTTGGTGGGTGGGGGGGGGTCTAGGAAATTCAAGCTTGTTTCAATGAAAAAAAATCAAAATTTCGATTAATTATAATGTTGGTATTACGTTGTAGGTTCAATCGTACATACAGTAGGAGATCTTGTCTTCTAAGAAAGTCATGGAGTCCAACAGTAATGAAAGATACCATTTTGGAAGATCTAAATATGGATAGAGATGATGTGGTGTATTCGCTCAATAAAAAGGGGAGATGGGAACTTCCGGACATGCTTAAAAATTCTATTTTGTCAGGAAGCTACAAGGACTTGAAATCAAACGTCAAGTTAATTGTCTCCCATGACATCGCAAAGAAAAGTCATACTGTTGGGTACTATTCGTCAAAAGGAGATACAAAGAAAATAGAAAGTAAAAAGAAAACCTATTTCAACGGAGAATCAGTCGTAGTTCAAAGCAGACTAGATGACAAAACAGGTACACAACCTATCCTTCAGATTGAAGTCGTTTACCCTAGTCCATCAACATGTTCAGTTCTTCACAATCCAAAATATGTCGGGCATTACATTGATAAACCTGAAAATGGGCGTGGCCGAACGACAAAAGGCAGGAGACAGAGGGAGAAACTCAGTGTTGGTAAATACTATGACGAATATTGCGAATCATTTGAAGATATCTCTGACGACGAATCCGAAACGGAAACAGAGTTGGACGATGAATCTTCCTCGTACCTGTACGAAAACGCCAATAAGAAAGACGTAACAAACACAGAACTATTAGAAGATATCATGATACATGCTGCTTTAATGCAAAGTTTGTGCCAAAGAAACAACATAAACTATATTCCAAAGCAGATTTTCGAATGTAAAGATAGAAAAATATATGAACCAAAGATTACGGCAGAAACCCCTCAAATTGAACAACCTACAAGTGTGGCTTTAAATGAGAATAGAAAAATAATGGAGCCCGTTTTTGTCTTACTTCCAAAAAGTGAGGTAGAGTGTGTATTGCTGAAAGAACGATATGGCAAAAGTTATGTGGAATGTCCCTGTTCACCTCGAAAGTTTCTAATCGATGTCAGCGACAGAATGACAATGAGATTGAAAACCTCCGGATGTTTGAAAGCAGAAATCTTTAAAAAATGGGATCTGACCTCCTGCGTTGTATTTACATATGATGAATACGATGTTAACAATACAGAGACACACAGCGTATTTAGAGTATGTCTTAATATTGGAACAAACACAGAAAAATTTAGAATTTTGACAATGTTTGACTATTACAACGGTTGCGTAGAAGATATTTTACACAGAGCTGTGACATTCCTAGATATGATGTCAACTGACGGATTTATAGAAAATGAAAAACTACCCCGAAAGAAAGTACTTCCATGAAATTTGAGAATTTGAACAACTGTCAGAAAATTAAGAAAGACGTATCTTTTGTTACGCGAAAAACGTTATTTAAAGACATTTTCAACAACAGGTTGTGCGACAATGTAACAGTTGTTGAACTCGGTTTCGAATGTATTCCGTCAGAATATTGTGGAATTTGCTTTGATTTTATAGCTGAAGGTGGAAAACCTGGAACAGCTCTTTCATCATGTGGACATTGGTTCTGTGATGAATGTTGGATAGATCACTGCAGATCGCGTATGGATATGGGCTCTGTGAACATAACTTGTCCAGAACATGGATGCAAAGAAACCGTCGCTGACGCTGTACTTTTGACATTTATAAACGTATTCGAAGTACTTGGTATAAAACGACGTGAGCATGACCTAAAGTTGCAGGCTTCTGATGCTAAATGGTGCCCAAATCCAAACTGTTGTAGGGTAATCACAGTAACTAATCCTGAAAAAGCGAAGGATGTTGCGTGTAAGTGTGGAGCACATATTTGCTTCCAATGCTTATAACCACCACACTGGCCTGTACCATGTGATAATGCACCGGCCTACTGGAAAAAATTAAAATTGCTTGGTGACGACATTACCATATCACCATCATTTGTAAAAGTCCGTGGGAAATCATGTCCGAAGTGTAAAAGGTTCGTTGAGAAACTGGGTGGCTGTTTTTTAATGAGTTGTGCATGCGGAGCCAGTTTCTGCTGGGGATGTTTGGGCACGTATCCAAACAACCACATATGGAGTGAAAAATGCGATCAGTATAGTAATGGAGACATGAAAGGAACAACTACCCTAAGGGTTACCGAAATGGATGGTCAGTCTTCTAATGTATCAAATAAAAATAGGAGTGAAGATTACAAACAAGCCGTTAACCATCGAAAAGGTCGTCATCCAATAAAAATAAGCAAACTGAGAACAGGCTCTCGTCAGATTCAATTTAAATGTAAAAACATAGCCAAAAGGAAAGGACCACTATATTTTCAAATGTTCGATGGCACAGAAGATAATGTTTCTATTTGTTCAGATGTGGAAGAAAAGATTAAAGAATTACTGAACAATATGGTATCAGTTTACATTGAGCTTCATCACATGGCAGAATATTGCTACGTTTTTATTGATAAACTTATAAAATCCGGTATTAAATGTTCACAGCTTCGAGGAAATGCTGATATCCTTGGTCATTTAGCCAATAGGATATTTAGTATTTTAACAGGATCCGGTGACGTGAAGGACTGCCGATCATTTCTCTCTTCTTTATTGCAGATTCAACAAAAAACCGTAGATATCACGAAAAACATTGTTTCGTTCACTAAAAAGTTTACAGCATAAGCATGCATCTGCTACAAAAAGTAATGATAAATTATGTTTTTATTTAATTTTACTGAACAAACTTAGATTACCACTTGAAATGAGGGCAAGGTCGTTTGACAATATTAGAGATATCAGACGAATATATACCATCCTGTTTTGAATTATTCATAAATTTATATTGATAAGAATTTCTCCAGATTGATATATTCATGATTTTGCTGTATATGAAATATCCTCCGGAGTATAGCTGCCGATACTAGCTAGAGAATAAAACATCATAATTTCAATTCGGTTATAGCGAGCATTCTTTAATTTGTTACATTTTGACATTGCTCTCCTTTTATTTGGATGTTGTTGTCTCTCGTGCAGGTGTTAATGAGAGTTCAGTGATTTTCTATAATGATTGTTATGTTACGTTTTCTATGTTTCTTTAAATGTTCTACAAATCGATCTTAAAAATGAGTGAATGAAAAATATCGAAAATAGGTGGACCTTATAAAAATTAAATTTCCTTGGTAATGATTTATGATACGCATAGCTTGAACGTGAATTTTTGCTGATTCTAGACAACAAAAACTTGTTGCGTTGCAATTATTTTTATACGCCCGTTTACGGGACGTATTATGGTATACCGTTGTCCGTCTGTCCGTCCTTCCGTCGTCAACATGTCGGACATCAACTCAAAAACGCTTTATCCAATTTGAATGAAACTTTGGTGAATTGTTTATATCTATTGACGTGAGCTCCCTTTCGTTTTTTATAAATTTTATATTTTACGTTTCCGAGTTTTTAGGTTTTATTCATTACGAAAGGGGGATTTTCCAGTTTTCGGACAATAATTTTCCTGAAACTTTGGTGAATTGTTTATATCTATTGACATAAGCTCCTTTTCAATTTTTATAAATTTCAGATTTTACATTTACTAGTTATGGGGTTTTATTCATTAAAAAAAGGGGGATTTTCCAGTTTTCGGTCAACAACTCAAAAATGCTTTCAGCAGTTTTCATGAAACGTTGGTAAATTGTTTATATATATTGTTGTAAGCTCCCATTTGATTTTTATGAATTTTAGATTTTACGTTTCCGAGTTATGGGATTTTATTCATAAAAAAGGGGTGATTTGCAATTTTTCGGACGATATGCTTAAAGTGCTTTGAGCAGTTTTCATTAAACTTTGGTGACTGATTTATGTCTATTAAGATAACCTCCCATTAGTTTTTTTTTATAAATTTCTGGTATAACATTGAGAAGTTATTGAACGTTATTCTTTGAAAACACGACTATAACATTGAGAAGTTATTGAACTTTATTCTTTGAAAACACGACGGGCGTATCATGCGCTCATGGCGCACCTGTTTATTTTTTATCACAAACTCTTGCTTGCGAACGATTATGATTTTTATACGACCGCAAAAAAATTTTGCGGTCGTATATTGGTATGACGTTGGCGTCGTCGCATCGTCGTCATCATCGTCGTCGTCGTCCGAAGACACATTGGTTTTCGCACTCTAACTTTAGTTTAAGTGAATGGATCTCTATGAAATTTTACCATAAGGTTCAATACCACAAAAGGAAGGTTGGGATTGATTTTGGGGGTTATGGTACCAACAGTTAAGGAATAAGGGGCCAAAAATAAGCATTTTTTTAACTTCCAGACATAACTTGTGTGTTAGTGTATGAATCTCTCTGACATTGTACCACAAGGTTCCATATCACAAAGGGAATGCTGGGATTGATTTTGGGGGTAATTGCCTCAAAATTTAAGGAATGAGGGGCCAAAAAAGGGGCAAAAAACAAGCATTTTTCTAGTTTCATGACAATAAATTGTGTGTAAGTGTATGGATCTTTCTGAAATGGTACTACAAGGTTCCATATCACAAAGGGAAAGCTGGAATTGAGTTTGGGGGGTAATTGCCCAAAACGTTTAGGAATAAGGGGCCAAAAAGGGGCAAAAATAAGCATTTTTCTAGTTTCCAGACAATAACTTGTGTTCAAGTGTATGGATCTCTCTGAAATTATACTGCAAGGTACCATAATACAAAGGGAATGCTGGGATTGATTTTGGGGGTAACTGCTTCAAAATTTTAGGAATTAGGGGCCTAAAAGTGGCAAAAAACAAGCATTTTTCTAGTTTCAGGACAATAACTCGTGTGTAAGTGTATGGATCTTTATGAAATTGTACTACAAGGTTTCATATCACAAAGGGAAAGCTGGGTTTGAGTTTGGGGGTAATTGCCCTAAACGTTTAGGAATTTGGGGCCAAAAAGGGGCCAAAAAAGCAAGCATTTTTCTAGTTTCCAGACAATAACTTGTGTTCAAGTGTATGGATCTCTCTGAAATTGTACTGCAAGGTACCATACCACAAAGGGAAGGCTGGGATTGAGTTTGGGGGTGATGAATCATAAGGGGGTTGAAAAAATTTGGGGGGAGGGATTCTTTTTTCTTTTTTTTTTCTTTAAAATTTTCCATTTTAAATTGGTTATTTCTGATTTATATTTAAAAGCAAATAATAATGATATGGTTTGAATAGGTAAATTAAAAATTTATAAGTTCTTAGACCACATTCATTCTGTGTCAGAAACCTATGCTGTGTCAAATATTTAATCACAATCCAAATTCAGTGTGTATCAAGCTTGAATGTTGTGTCCATACTTGCCCCAACTGTTCAGGGTTCGCCCTCTGCGGTCGTATCAAGCTGCGCCCGGCGAAGCATTTTATTAAGGTTGTATAGGAATTTAAACGAAAAAATGATAGGCGTTGCATGCATATATTTTTATATCGGGTTATGCTTAAAATATATACTAGTATTAGAAAGTCTTAGCTACCGAGCTTGTTTTAATCCACATTTCCTTCATAAAATATTTTGTAGGATTATACATGGAATAAGCACACATAGCTTTATGGAAATGTAAACAAAGTTATACCCACAAGTAACAATAAATCGGCCAGACAAGATATTTTCAAAATCATTGTTCTTATAAGAAGCACATTCTCTAAGATTTGCAGATTTTTTTTAAGACACCAATGACATAACTACGAAACTAACTTGATTTCCAAGTGAACTACATGTAAAGAAAATATGCTCTTTTTCATTCATGTGCCAGATCCGCGTAGCCTAAATCGGCCAATCGTAAATTTGATGCACTGGAAGGTCAAGAGAAAGAATTGTTTCTATCACGTTTTAGGTAGAAATTGTGTCTATGCTGTTGTTCAAATAAAAATGATAAATCATGTACAATATATCTTTACAACTCCAACCAATACAACATGTGAAATCCGAAACTGCAAAAGACAGACTTGGCGGAGTGTACACATATAGAATAAGGAGATGAGATATGATTGCCCTTGAGATAACTATCAAACAATGTCCAAATGAAGCGGATTTAAGCAACTATATACAGGTGATTGTACGGCCTTCAATAATGAGCAAAACCCATACCGTATAGTCAGCTATTTAAAAGATCCCGGCATGACTAAAATAATAAAAAAATTCAAACGAAGTTTATGCTATTAAATTCTTTCTATTTCAAATTACTTTTTCTCCCTTTTACCAAGTATAATTTATAAAAACCAGTATAAATAGCCATACAAACTGCAATTAGTATGGAGTAGCTTTTCTTCAAATTTAAAAGTTATTCATGCCTGTGGACATGTCAAAAACACAAAGGCCTAATTTATATACTGTCGGGGTCATAAATAATATTATATGTTAATATTATATGTTATGATTTGAATTGTGAAAAAAAATATGGTTGGTGTGACAACTTCATTCCGGGTGTATATAAAAAGGATTACCTAAACATATTTTATACGCCCGTTTACGGGACGTATTATGGTATACCGTTGACCGTCTGTCCGTCCGTCCGTCGTCAACATGTCGGACATTAATTCAAAAACGCTTTAACCAATATGCATGAAACTTTGGTGAATTGTTTATATATATTGACGTGAGCTCCCTTTCGTTTTTTATAAATTTCAGATTTACCATTTCCGAGTTTTGAGGTTTTATTCATTAAAAAAGGGGGATTTTCCAGTTTTCGGACAATAACTCAAAAACAATTTCACAAATTTGCATGAAACTTTTGTGAATTGTTCATATCTATTGACGTGAGCTCCCTTTCGTTTTTTAAAAATTTTCGGATTTACCGTTTCCGAGTTTGAGGGTTTTATTCATTAAAAAAGGGTGATTTTTCAGTTTTCAGACAATACTCAAAAACAATTTCACCAATTTGCAAGAAACCATGGTAAATTGATTTTTTCTATCGACATGAGCTCCCTTTTGATTTTTATAAATTTCAGACTATACGTTTCCGATTTATCGGGTTTTATTCATTACAAAAAGGGGGATTTTCCAGTTTTCGGACAATAACTCAAAAATGCTTTCAGCATTATTATGAAACTTTGGTAAATTGTTTATATCTATTTTTGTAAGCTCCCTTTTGATTTTTATAAATTTTCGATTTTACGTTTCCGAGTTATAAGATTTTATTTGTTAATAGTCTGACAACATGTTTACTCAGTATTGCGCAACAGCACAGTGTATTGCACAACAGCAAGAAATCTTTCATGTAACCAATTTCAAGTTCTTTGACTACATTTATTCAGAAACCTATAATATATCAAGTATTTAATTACAATCCAAATTCAGACCTGTATCAAGCTTGAATATTGTGTCCATTTTTGCGCCAACTGTTCAGGGTTGGACCTCTGCGGGCGTATCCAGCTGCGCTCAGCGAAGCAGTTTATTCTATAGGTTATTGATGCATGTGTAAACCGCTAGACTCACAAACTTCACAAACTTTCGGACTTTTATTCAATTTGTGAGTTGCTTGTAACCTGCCGAGTTTTCACCTCTAGAAAAATGCGTTTATCATATATAGTAAACCGAAATACCTTGCCTGAAACCCTGTCATACTAATTTCCCGGAGTTGCTAACGAAATTTCTTTTTCATTTATAAAATTTGCTTGGAAACACTGAATTTTCTTTCGCTGTTTTAAAGTGATGTTCACCTTCAATATTGTAACGATCAGGACGAGGGGTACCAATCCGCTATTGCGTGATGCTAAATCACTTGATAAAACTTATCTACATATTTATAGGAGTAACACGACGGGTGTCACATGTGCAGCAGGATCTTTTTTCAACCTTTCCGGAGCACCTGAGATCACTCTCGGTTTTTGGTTGGGTTGTTGTTGCTCAGTCTTTAGTTTTCTCTGTTATGTGTACTGTTGTTTGTCTTTTTGCCGTTTTTCGTTTTTCGTTTTTTGCCATGACATTGTCAGATTGTTTTGACTTATGAGTTTGTCTATCCCTTCTTTCGCCTCTTTTCTTTCGTCTGATTATTTTTTTTTATCAGTTGACGCAAACACGGTGTGGAGGACTTATCCATGAGTGAAAATAACAAAATTTTCTTGAAAAATACTCACAGTGGGTCTCATTGGGGTCTAAGTGTGACGCGGGATTGCCGATTTTTTGTAAGCGTGACACGTGAAAGTCAAATTATTGTGCCGTGAAAACGGGAAATGAAGTGTAGCGGGACACGGGAAATTACAAAAAAATGAGAATTGCTTACGTACATAGTGTAAGCGGGATGCGGGAATCTGACAAAACAGTAAGCGGGATCCGGGATCAGAACCCCCCAATGAGACCCCCCTCACAAATTCCAATGCGAAACTCACCACTCCTAAACCAAATCACGTTTACCAATGAAGTACTAACTGCAATAACTTCATATCGTTGTCAAAACCATCAATGAAATATTCGGGAAAACGTTAACTTGGCGATAATGAACGTCACATTGTCTGATGACGTCGACAAAACACAATATTATGACGTCGAATTAACGACAATCGCATGAAATGTGCCGTCCAGTAACACATAAACCACGCACTTGTGAAAATCGATGGATTGCTATTTGACAGACTGACAATACTATAAGCTGTAGAAGGTAAATCAAGTACAGTAATCTGAGATTCATAATGTCAACAGACATTTTAGGCACTTGTTCTCAAGTTCTCAAAATTCTTTCAGAACATGTTTCATCTGATAATGAAATCAGCAAAACTTTATCACCGGGAAATGAAAACGGACATTGCACAAATCATAAAAATGCGGCTGATTTAACACAAAAAGTTGGACAGGGAATTGAAAAAGCGCAAACAGTTGTACGTCATTCACCCGAGCCTGTAGACAAAATGCCGATACTTGCAAATGCGCTAAATGTTGCAACAACATTTCAAACCACTAATCCTCAGGAATGCCAGAAAACAGAGATTTTCTTTATGTCAGCAGATGGATCTATAAAAAGAAGATTTCTACCAGAAGATCTACCAGCAAAAAGAAAGCATCCTGCACCAACTCTCATGCCAGGTATGTTATTGGGTTTACATATATTGGTAATTTTTATTATGAATTGCCTCTCCGATACATGATCATACATTTGCCTACATATAATATAAGTTGAGACATGAATCAAAATAAAATTGCAGCAGTCCTTTTGCGGCAATTGCAATATTAAGGGATATATTATTTGCGTCAAACTTTATTTTCCAAAAAATTGCGCCAGAAAATGTTTGATTGGTTGATTGTTGGATATACGCCACTTTCAACACTCATGGCTCAACAGTTTTTGTTGTCGAAGTACCAGGAGAGAACCACCCGTCTTCGGGAGGAAGACTGACAATCCTTTTCAATTAAGATAGGCACCTGCAACGGGTGGGACTCGAACTTACAACCTCAATGTTTACAGTTTAATGATTACTGTATAGATAAACTTCTTAGACCACTTGGCCACCGAGGCCCCGCGCCAGAATACGGAATTCAGTTGCGTCAATTCATTTCACCTGTATGAATATTTATCAAATCATCTTTGTTTATCTGTTAATATGTAACAGTTACATATTTCAGTTCTTAGTAAATTATTACAAACCTTAATACAACCATTTATGAAATGAATGGGACTATTGTTGCATGAAGAATTAGAATATATAAAGCAGAAAAACAATACAATTTAACGTTGCTAGTGTAAAATATGATTTTATCTAAGAATTTCGCGCAATATTATATATTTTTAGCGCAAATGAAACTAAGCAGCTTGAAAACAAATGGACGGCGTGCAAACGTTTTATTGTCTCAAATGAGTTGTGGTGCAAACGGATTTCTCACAAGCTTATATGGGCCATTTAAAAAAATGTCGAATTTTCATGTAGACCTATGCTAAAAATTGTATTTTTAATCGAAAATGCAGTTCTAGGTGTTTTAATGAAAGTTTGTAAGATTCCCGAGTCTTTGCACCAATAATAAACATGATTTAGATCTATTGTGATGAGATTAAAATATATTATAGTCAGACTTTTGCATAATTTATGTTCGTACAGAGTCAGTGTAATAAATATCAAATAATTTATTCCCTGTTTTCTGATTGCCTTGAAATCGGCAAAATGAACTATTTTAGAATGTTTATGATAACTCTAACGAAAAATAACAGTTTCTTTATTATTTTATGTAAAATTTTTCCTACACACTAAAAGTTATTCGGCATAAATGCATGAAATGCATGTCTATCCTGTTAGAATACTGTATCAACCGTAAAATTGTTTTTCCCATGCAATATGAAACTATTCAGTGATGATTTCAAAAACACAAAGCATCCTGAAAATTCACGGAACACGGTACGTTTCTTGCATAACAGTGATGAGAAAATAAATTTCAAGAAATTTATAACAAAAAAAATTCGTACCCTTTTATCCTGTCTATGCTGACAGCTGTTACCAACAAATTTATTAATGACAACACTATTACATGCACTTGTAAACAAAGTAAAATTACGTGTTGGAAACCAATATCACAGAAGAAAAACATTATCACTGAATAAAAGGGAGTAGTTATTTCACAGCAGCATTCAATAAATATAGAAATTTGTCTATCCTGTTATAATGGTTGCAGTAATAGGATAGACAATATTTGACTGTTCAAAGCGTCTTCAACAAGTATATATATATATATATTTACACATAATTAAATGTTTGGATATTTGAACTTATACAACAGATACAGTTAAGTCTGTCTCATATCTCGACTTATATCTAGAAATTGACAAGGAGGGTCGATTGAGAACAAAAACTTTATGACAAAAGAGATGATTTCAGCTTTCCAATTGTGGACTCCCCATTTCTATGTAGCAACATTGCAGCAGCGCCGACATATGGAGTCTAATATATCTCCTAGTTTCAGGGCTT